CTAAAATTTTTCTGAGAAAAGAATTATTACACAAATTATACATATTTAAAGTTGACATGAACATAAACAGCATCTATACTGTACAAAAATTATTTTCTACTTTTAAAAACTCAATGAGACTATTTTCTACTCTCAAGAACACTATATCGGTAAGAACAACATTAATTTTATATTGTGACTTAATAAATTCATTTAATTTAAATCATATTAAAAAAATACAAAGATTCGATTAATTCTTGTGCATTTCGAAGATGCGTGACAATAACGAGACGAAGTTGTGGGATCCATTTCGCTCAATTTTCGATCAATGGAGAACAGCCAAGAGCGAACACTGTTGGATAGAAGTTTGTGTACCGCGCGATCATCAAAACAGGATGCGAACCCAACTTCCTCTCAGTGCTCGGTAAATAATAAATATGAATACATAAAGAGCAATCTTCTGTATCAAGGTAAAAGAAAGTTCTCGTACGATAATAATCGCAGTACAAATTTGTGAATTTACAAATTATAGATTGCAATTATAATTTATTAATTATTAGTTGTAATTAAAAGTAAACGTAACAATAAAGTTAATAAAAGTTAATAGCAAATAAAATAAAATTAATAAAAGTTAATAGCAAATAAATGTAACTGCGTATATATATATATATATATATATATATATATATATATATAGAATCAATTTTGGAGTTCAATGCAACCGCCCACGTCCGACTATAACACACAAGATGGCAATGAGTTTGCAAAAGAGGAATCTAACGAACATCTCGAGACTTTGAAATTCGTGTTTCCAAAGAAGGTCAAGGCTCGTGGACGAAGAAAAGCGAACGCCAACAAGCGTAGAGTCACGTTTGCTGATCATTAAACTCGTTCGCGCGACGAGCATTATGTTACCTTACATTAAAAACTGCAGTAAATGCAAATATTGTATTACACACATTCGACCGACGCCCGATCAGATTTTTCTACATAATAAGATTTTTCGATTTCAAAGGCGCGAATACAGATGATGCGGTTTTATTGTCAAAAAATTCTGTAACTGATATATTAACGATACTCTCGATCATTAAAAGAAAGATTATAAATATTATCACACACACAATGTCCTTGTTTGCGATAATAATATTTTATTTATATTACTTATATTCGACTTGTCCAATAATGTTCAGAAAATGTGATTTTCTCAAATTTTTCGATTTGCGATATTTTATTAGCATTATTATTATATTTTATTATGTTTAAATATTTACGTAGCCGATCGACCGTCGATTGTTGAATGCAATATCACTTTTAGAGCGATATGTTGAAAACTTCAAACCATTTTTGACACTTATAACAAAATTTTCTGTATTATTCCAAACTTTCAAAATTTCAAATAAATCAAAATTTAAACTAATTTAATTAAATATTATATCAATAAAAACAAACATGAATGGATTCAGAATATGGGCATTGCATGATCTATCATATATTCTGCCTACTAAATCCTTGCAGGTACTCCATAAAATTAACCTCTCTTCAATTAGTAAAAAATTAATAATTTAGTTATAAATAATGTGAACAAGAAGATATTAAGTCTTATAATAACATTTCTAAAGTTTCGATAATTTGTACTTAATTTTTTAAAATAAATTATATACTGAAAATAATACGTGAAAATAATACATAAAAAAATCTGATCAAAACTAATCTACGAAGAAGAAAAATACATAAAGATAGCAAAATAAATAATAAATATTAATATAAAATATAAATACATAAAAATAACTAAAAGTATTTTAAATAAAAAAATATTCAATTGTGTTTATAGAATAATATTTTTCTTTACGACACACAAATTAGCATGAAACGCACGCGCCCACGAATACATTTAAACGTTGTCTTTCAATTTTCCTCAACTCCTCTTGCAAGCAAGAGAATGCTCGTCAGAGCAGAAGAATTAATTTAACAACAGTTTCCAATAATCCGAAACCTATAATCTTCACAACATGGATGGCTTTATCTGAAATCACTACGACATCCTTCAGTTCTCGATCGCTCACATATTTTTTGCCTTTCAAAGTGAATACGGAAATAACGCATCCAGAAGCATTGAAACCTCTCATTAAGTACAAAGAGTTATTAGATGGAAATCCAGTATCTAGAAACAAATACTATAAAAGGCTTCCAAACATTCAGACTAATGATTTTGATTTTATGTATAATGACAATACCATGATAAAATCTGGTAATGTTCACTGCGGTGACTGCCGTTCAAAAATAATGTTCACTCTTCAAGAAAGTCAAGTACCCAAAATTAATCATACAATCAAGCAAGAGTCAATTGATGATTTATTGATTTATACCACTGGAAAAAATTTGGATTCTTTGTCTTCCGCAAATTTGGAATTAGAAACACTAAAAATCAAGCAGCAAGAGTCACGAGATCAGTTCAAATTACAAGACAATCAATATTCACGAAAATATGACTCGTCGCAATCTCCAGAAGTTTGGAATTACATGCAGAAAGATCTTTCGAGCACAACGAAGCAACGGATTCAGCTTTCGCACACTTCTCTATGTATTTTGCAAACGCCTACAAATATCTCCAATCCATTGCCATCTTTATTTGAAACGTTGAGAACATCTCGATTTGGTAACTTGGCCTATTCCGGAATTTTGGGAAATCGAGAATTTCGAAAGACTTCGTTGTATCTACCTTCTGTATCGCGTCGTGTTTTCTCCTCAAAAAGTTGCACCGTGATTCAGCAATCTATTCGAGAGTTTGAAAACTTGAAGAAGGATCAGAGTGCGAATACATCGATTATTCGTTTGAGACACACGCGATCGCATCCAGGTCTCTTGAAGTCCTAGTTATAATAATTCTTAACTTTTTAAATTTATATAGCTGAAAGCTTCTGTCTATTCAGTACAGTCATCTTGGATCATGACAAAGCGAGAAAAATATACTGTATTAAAATGTGAGTATTTTTTAATAAAACAATATTTTTAATAGAATAGAGTTGTAAAATATACCTTTGTATTCTGATAATCAATAAATAACCATATATTTGAAATTAAATTATACCTAACCAAAAAACAAAGCATAAGCTGTATTACAATTATCAAATTGAGATAAATACGATTTTATTATATTTCGGAATAAAAGAAGAGTTTTCGCGATATTTTGCAATACTCTATGAAACACAAATATTGTTTTATTCAAAAATATTTCTATTTTAATATATTTAATATAGTTAAAAAAGTTTTATTTTGAACGTTCCTATTTAAATTTACTTTAAAATTTTCATTATGTTGCTTCGCTTCTGACATTATCGGTCTAAAAATTCGTAATGAATGGACACACAAAGAGCCTTAAATAATCCTCAATTTAATCCTTCATTGACACATTTCTTTTTTCGGTTCGCTTTTTTACACTGGGTGACTCACACCCAGAGCAATGTTTAAACAACTGATATTCTTATTTAAAGAATCCAATCAGTATAAAAAAATGGATCAATTTCAAGATCTGTAGAATACATTCAAATAGTTTTTGAAATTTCATTATAGTTTTTATGAAAAAAATTCTTGAATTCAATGAATAGAGAAAAATCTTTGAAAAATTGTAACTTTTAAAAAATTCAGTATTAAAAGTATCATATTTGAATAACAATTTACAGAATTGTTATTCAAATATGATACTTTGAAAAAAAATTAGTAAGTGATTTTGGATAAAGAGTATTTATTTTGCATATTGAATATAGGCTATATTGGGAATTGAAAAATAGAGAGATATTTTTATAAACATTTGTATTTTTGTTCTACAAAATAAAAGAAAATTGAGTTTCAGAGAATTAAAATAATTTTGTGGGTGATTCGCACCACAGTATATATTAACGAAGGGTTAATATTGTTTGAATATACATATGTGCATACAGTAATTCGATGAAAAACGTTTTATAGTTAGTTTGCAACTATAATAATATTAATACACTAACGATTGATATTTAATGAGACTGACAATCGCAGATCGCGTTTCTCTGATGAGACTGCAATCGTTTTCCTGCACATCAAAGTCTAAAAAATCCGCCGGTTGCGAGAAGGATGATAAGTCACATCGATCGAAATGCGAAGATGAAATCGAGGAAGATATGTGTTCTCAAAACATTGCGACGAGCCGTTGCCGGCTTGAAAATAAAAAAATTTGCGGGAAAACGCGACGGAAGGACACGTGCGTCTCGTCTCAAGATGACGTGCGTGAGAAACAAGAGAGAAAATCTAAGCTCAACAAAAAATACATGTGTTCCGAACTGACGAACGAACTAAAGCCATGCACTTGGAATAAGGAGCGATGTTCTGAGAATCATCGGAAGTACGACGAGAATAAAGCACGAGTCTCATCAAAGAATCGCGCACGGCAATCAAGAGATTCTAGTTGTTCACAGAAGCAAGATGTTGACAGAAGATGTAATAAAAGTAACGCAGATCGACATAATCGTTGTTACAATAATAGCAATAATTCTCATTAAGAAATATTAAAATTTAATTTAATATCTACGTGATACTTCACGAAACATCTGAAATTGATGTATCTCATATTCAGAATAGTAGGTCAAAATTATTATTGTTATTATCATCATTATATTAATTTAACATTAGCTGCCATAATTATGATTTAGTATTTAACTTTAGCATATCTTGATGAAATTCTATACCGTGTATTGATTTATCCATTCTCTAATTTTCCTGTTTCCTTTTCCATGTATTGTGCGTTTTTATATTCTTTCTTCACTAATCTATTAATTTATTTTGACATTTATCTCTATTTTTTTACTATGTGTTTTATTTTAATATCTTAATCAGGACGGCAATCAAAATCATATAAGCAACGTGACGATTACGAAAAAGCTGATGAACCATATACAGTCTGTAAAAATTCCTTCAAAAAAACGGTTGTTTTTGAATCAAACTGCAACAACAAACATGCAAAGTGCGGTGCTAGTAGTAAGAAAGAACGACAAAAGTGCACCGGAAACAATCGAAAGCGATCTAACAGCTATCGCGAAAGAAATTCATCCCGAACTAGTGATAAAAACTGCAACAAAGCAAACGGAAAGCGATATTACTCAACAAGCGATGTTACGAAACAATCAATTTTCTCCGTCCCGCGGAATCGTAAATCTTTCTCCGATTCGATTTCCGATATCATTCTCGGCATAAATGTAAGCAAAAGATTTTATGCTAGCTGCAGCAAAGACAAAAAAGATCGAAGACAAGCTCCGTCTTGTGAGGAACAAAAAATGAAGTGCGAGAAAAAAGAGGAAACTAAGAAAAAGTGTGTAAAAGGTGTTGCTAAATGTATGTCGAGAAAAAAGACTACTACTGATAAGATGCAAATCTGTCAGTCTACGAAAAAAGACGAAGACAAGAAATTTTATGAATCTACGAAAAAGGAGGAATTTTGTGCCACCATAGAAAAAGAAATTAAAAAAGGTAAAATAAATTTAATTTAATTATAATTATTATACGGAGTGTTTTGAGATCTCAGGGATAAACTTTAAGGGATGATAGATCTTATAAAAAAAATAACTTTTGTTAAGGAAACTTATATTCTCTCCGATGCATTATTAAAGAGCTATGCGTTCCTGTTTGACCGGATGTGAGATACATAATCGATAGCGCGGCAGCATTACGTTGTCCTCTGATGATACTAATTTAAGTTTTTGTATTTTTTATTGTCTCTTTGTAACATAAAATCAAAAAATGTATGCTGGTAAATGTAATGCGACCAGACGTGTAGCTCCTTAAAAATCAGTTAACAGTGTTGACACAGTTTCCTTAACAAAAGTTGATTCTTTTCATAAGCTTTACTATTCTCTAAAGTTTGCGTCTAAGATCTTAAAACATCATGTATTATATATTCTAAAATTTTTAGAGTAAATTGTTATTCTGAAGAGTGACATCTTTCTTTTAAAAATCTCAAAATCTCTTTAATTTCTTTTTGTATTATATTGTACTTTATAAAAATTCTTCAATTTTGCTAAATTTTTAATTAATTATTTTTTTTGTTGTAAACGAAAAACTTAAAAAAGAACCAGTGAAAGCATTTCGATCACCTATAAAAGATAAATTCTATGAAAGAATTATAGGTTTTTTAATTCTTTCTTATATTATGATTCATGAAAGAGGAGCAACTGTAAATTAATGTTAACTAAATTCTTGTTATAATAAATTCCTTTAATTGTTCGTTGCAGATAAAAAGTCTATAGAACAATTGATAAAGGAACAGAGAGATCGCGAATACAAAGAGATAGATGAATGCAAGAAGGGGAAAAAAGAGAAAAAGGGCGATAAAATCAAAATAATTTCCTTAAAAAAGCTGATGGGCTTAGATCGCATGATCAATTCATATAAAAAACAGGAAAAGCAGGATATCGAAAAGTTTGTAAGCACACGTAACGAATCAATCATTTCTATGGACGCCGTGTTTAAGTGGTTCAACATTCAATCTAGGATTATTAATGGCACGATCCCAATTATTGCCAAGTTAGTTCTTTCGCTTGGATTTTACTTCTGTTGGCAAATGCATTTTCAAAATTTGAAGATTAAGTAATTCAGAAAGAATAATATTCTTTAAAAATTCTATATCCCGATATTTTTTATTCTGATTAGTAATTTCTCTGATTTTTTTATAATTTATGTTATCGAGATTATTTACATTACCTATTTTATCGTAACTATACACTTGCGATCGATGATCATTTATTGCTGCAACAACGAGTTATTTCATACAACGTAATTATAGGGATGTCGGACTGTTCAATGCAATGTTTGATCGATCGTTCTCTACTGCCAAACTGGATTATCAGGATGATTTTGCTATCGGACGAACTATGAATGATGATAAAATAGTTCAAAACTATTCTGCGAATGACGACGATTTTATTCATGGCGATGAAATACCGAATTATGCTGAAATAGAATATGAGGACGAAGAAGATGACGTTCACGAGGATCACTAACCGATCTCCAAAATCAATCGAATCTTACGCAAAGGTCACAGTATATATTAATTTAATATAAGTAGTGAAAAAAAGTTTTATTACAATTGTTTTACACTTTGTCACAATATGATATCTTTGGTGAATGTTGATGATGTAATAAATAAAAAATTAATCCGGCTTGTAATGTGACTATACCTGTATTTTGCTCTTTTCAAAATATGCACTTGAAAAATATCTGCGTTTTTTTCTTTAAAAAAACAACATGCCTGCAAGCACGCAATTTCCTTATGACGCAATTTTCTTATAATACGTATAAACATAGCTACTTTCCTCACATATGAATATATAATGGCGTTAGTAAATATACATTTACATACGAAGGTATCTCGTTTTCAAGAACATTGTGATCCTTTTGATTATACGGTAATCAATTACTTCACGACATTACTTCGATATAAATAGTAGTTGATCATGCCCCAATAATACTTAACCAGATTTCACTTTGTAGACGATAAGATAAAATTACTCTTCAGTATGACTTGGATGATCGTTGATTACTCGCCGACGGACAGATACGAGTCGAACGAGTGAAACGCAAATGCGGAGCCTTACGGAGGTTTTGCTTCTTCACGAGACGTCTTTGTAGCGCGACGGAGGCGTGAATGGCAGTGGGCCAGGAGGCCCAATTATGAGTTATTCAGTCCTCGCCACGGGGCACCGCGGTGCCGCTCTACCGTCGGTGTATGCACCTACCTGGCGCCTCCCCCTTCATCTCGCGTGAGAGTGAGAAAGAGCGAGAAAGAGCGTGCAAGCTGCGGGGACGCGAGACGGGACGACGGGGGTTGAAACGCGGGATGTATGGGGTAGAGAACGTGAGGACGTCTCTGCGGGATTCCCTCCGTCACTTATGGGAATGCGATACGAGCTTTTCGTCGGATGCTCTCTTGCGTTTTCGCATTGTTACGCAACCGTCCTTCTCGCGTCCGCGTCACCCTCGTGCACTCCGACAAAGGGAATCAATGTCAATGCGCGCTGCCATGCCATGTACACGCTCTGGAGAGGACAAGGAAAGTGAGAATGAAATGATGATTGAGAGTATGTAATAAACGCGGATTAAAATCGTTATGTTATGCTATAACGATCACGCGAAGTGTCAGTTCCAAGTTCTTTAAATTTGTACAGCAAAATTTTTCGAATTCTTATCATTTTGATAATATAATCATTAGATTTGTGCAATTATTCTATATTTGTTATCATCTCTTTAACAAGAAATTAATTAGAGGTTATTAATATAATTTGAATTCTCATTGCCATCATTTCAAGCTTCTGTTCATTCACTACTGTATTATCTCGGATTGTGGCGTCAGAAACGAGAAGGTATACAATAAAAATCTTGCAAAATATAATAATATGGAAAAATGTTTCAATAAAACAATATTTATAATCGATAAAATCGATTTGTAAATTTGTACATTAAAAACTCTTCTTTTATTAATTGATAAATAGTCATATATATATTTAAAAATGATGTTCAGCAAAAAACGAAATAAGTATAGGCAGCTATGACAAACCTTTAAATTAATAATATATTAAAATAAATATGATTTAATTTTTATTATCTGAGATAAAAAAAGATATGGTTTCCAAATTATTTTTAATAAAATGATAAGTCTAGTCTATCAATTGCAAATGCAGTTTATTAAAAAATTTATTCCCATTAAAAAATTTCTTTTCATCGATTCAATTTTGTATTATAATTATTTATTGAAAAATATTTCTATTCAAACATAGTTTGCAAAATTTTTATCGCGTGTTTTTTTACTTTCGACGTCATATTCTGAGATAATAGTGATGAATAAATAGAATGAATAAATAAAATGAATAAGAAGCCCACACTTCAATTATTTCTTAATTAGGATTATACCTGCACTGATTTGATGTTTTTATGATGAGAACATAAACTATGCTTAAAGTGAAGAAAAACGTATGTATCAAAGTTACATGATGAAGTTTTCATGTTTTTTAAATAAATATAATCATATTGTATTATTAGTTTCCTTCCGATCTCTCAAGTTGTTACTAATAATATCATATCATTAAAAAAAAAAATCTAAAATTTCCTTTACACTTTTCGATCTTCGCTACCTCAATTTTATTCATTTTAGCGAAACTGTCTATATTGTACTCGATCAGACATGCGAAGTAAAGTGACGGTAAGGATATCACAACGAATGCGAATCGACGCAACTTATTGTCCCATCAGCAAGATTGAGCGGCTTTTTAGAACGAATCGGGAAGGTTTTTTGCACGTCACATTATGGTGTCAACGACTTCATCCTGGACCACAAACCGCTGGCATCCGTGTATCGAGAATGAATGGCGTCGCGACGGGTGGCAGGAAGGCGCATACAACTCGAATAAAATGTATCAATTCCGTTCTCATGATGCCGGAGTTCTTTTCCTCGAGGATCGATTGTGCGCTTGAAGGAAGGAAGTCCTGCAACGGACAACGTCTATTATTAGTGCGCGATGTTGTTCAATTATGCGAATTACAACGACGGAACAGGCTTAATAAATATTGTACATTCTATGGTGTAAGAGTTTTGTTATGCTTTCTAATATTCATTTTTATCTATCAAAGTCAATTAACATTAATCTCGATTTAACTTAATCTTTATCTTTTCAGAATTAGAAGAATTAGAAGAAAATAAAAAGTGAACTGAAGTTAACATGAGAAAGTCGTTGTAGTGGTACTAAAACATTATATTTCGAAGCAAGAAATACAATGAAAATAACGAATTACAACGAATGTTACTCAGAAAACACTGTAAGATTTAAAAATGGATTCTATTCTTTAAAGGTTAATCTATAATATATTGATATAAATGAATTAACAGAAAATTTTTTCTTAGATTTTAAGCAATTAACTTTGTTTCGAATCTTTTATATTAATAACAGCATTAACACATATATACGCGCACACGTGAGTGCAGGCGAGATTAGATATAACTAGGAAAATTATAGTCGCTTGATAGTTGTTCATTTAAAGATATACATACTGTATCCGTCGGCGCTACATCGCCGTCGGTATATCACGATAGAAGTGAAATTCTGCATTACACGATTTATTCGATTACAATCACACACACACAAACATACACAGAGATCTCCTTTCATATTTTTACTATTAACTATATATCGTTTAACACATTGTTACACAAAAAAAGAGACGAATATGAGAGACAGGTCAATACATCTTCGTAATGCAACTTATGATGCAACCGCAATGCAAAATATCAGAATTGGTGAACATAAGTTAAAACAGAAAATTCTATATTCTTGAGTTCGTTCTTTTTGCGTTCCAACATTGCGTCCTCAAATTAAACTAAGGATAAAAGAAAGGAAAGAAAGGGCGGAAGGGTTCAGACTCCTTAGGTCAGTATTCCTTACCAGATGAAGAACGTCAGTCCCATGTCAGTTTCTTCGCAAGCGGGGCAAGCAAACCGAACGACATCCTCTCATATAGGGTTTATACGGATTATTTTAGGTATATTTTTTTAAAGATATTTAATATTAAAAATGTTAAAAAAATATATATTGCGATGTTTTCCTGTTTGCAGTTATTATTGTATTGTAATTCGTAAACATACATCAATTTTAAAAAAACAAACTTTATTTACTTTATTTACTCTACAGTGCAACTTTATATTTATTTTACAGTTATACAATAGAACAAAGCTACTGAGAGGTTTTAAAAAATTCCGTTGCAGACAGGTTGCAGTTTCACACCACGCACAGAAAATATTCATCTTGTCAACTTCATAACTAGATAGGTAATGATTTTATCTTTCTAAAACTGGAAGCTCTATACAATAAATTTAAATTTATATTTGATTGCCATAGAATTTTGTCATTAGAATAAAAATAAAAACTATAAAATTTGTTTTTTTTTGTTTTGTAAAATTGTAATATCGTATTTGCATTTATTTGTTTGAAATTGAAAGAAATTTATATATCAAAAACAGAGAAAATACCCATTTATTTATAAGTAAATATAAAAAATGTTAAAATTAATAATGGTAAATTTTTAAATTTATTTTTATCATATTTTTGAAAAAATTAATTAAATATTAGGTGTAGTAAAAAGAAATCCATTATTTTTCCAATAGATAGCTTTAGTAATCTGTATCTCGTCTACGCGTGAGACTAAAGCCATCTATTGGAAAAATAATGGATTTCTTTTTACTACACCTAATATATAGTTTTCATGTAAAAATAAAATTAATTAAACACTTTTATATAACGTAGGCGTAAGAAAAGATTCATATTTGTACAGAAAAATACAACTTAATATTTCTTTTTTGTATGATATTTTTAAAAATAGTTACCTTTGTATAAAAAAATTCTGCAAGATTTGCAAATGAAGTATTTTTTCATATGTATTACTTAAAACGCTTTAAAATCACATGATTTATTTTAATTTTTTATATTTTATGCTAAAATACATTTTGAAAACAAATTCATTTAATTTTTTAGTTCAACAATTCTATTTAAATAACTTATTTTGATTAATTTAAATTTAAAATTAGAGAGAGAGGAAGAGAGAGAGAGAGAGAGAGAGAGAGAGAGACGTATTTACTACATCAGCACCCAGTCAAAGATTTTAAAAAGATAATATTATTACGCAGTAATCAACTATATTTTATTAAAAAATGTAAACTATGTTAGCGACTGCGAATGTGTTAATTTTTCTGTAATTATTTCTGTTTTACTTTTTATTTTCAATTTATTTTTATAATCTATGATGCCATAACTAATTTGTTTCTATAAGGGATTAATGAAAACCGGTGCAAAGAGAATATAAAATTTTTATTCTAATGTCAATTAGTTAAGAAAATAATGTAGAAAGTGAAGATTAACTTCGATCCCAAATTCCAGTTGTTTGTTTTTACAGGCAAGTTTATTTTTTTTAGAAAATTCAAAAATTATTAGTATTAATCTGCGTTTCCTTTGATTTTTTTCTCAAAAGGCACCGCAAACAGTGCAAACACTCGACATAACGACGTGATGTATCACCGACTTCACCATCACTGCTTTCTTCCATCGGACGTTGTGTCGGCGATTTTACTGTAGCGGCGGACCGTGTACGACGTGTGTTATTCTAGCCCGAGCGCGCGGTGCCTTAAGTAACGCAAAAACACGGGCGAGCGCTCTGTCCGTGAAACTTTATCCAACTTCTGTTGTAAGTAGCTTCTAAGCGACATTACCTTTCTTCCGCGGGGGCGTTCATAAACTTCGCGAGTACTATAAATTGATTTTTCCCCCGGGAAGGATAAGTCGTTGCTGCCGCTCTCGCGTCCCTCCCTCTCTTACCCTCTTCGCCTATCCTTTCCCACCCTGTGAGCACCGCTAATAAGTCGTCTAATAAACGAGATCTTTAGTGCTTCCTTCATTTATTTTCTTACGCTTTTCCTCATAATTCACTTCCATCATGAATAATTATAGCTTGTTCGATTCATGCTATCAGAGTGACTCTGATAGCATGATAACGTCACAAATGATTGTGTCATCTCACGGAAAAAATATTTTTGCTAAAGTATTTAAAAATTCAGCTTGATACAGAGCTGAAAATAAATTTTGTTGGGCTATCAAAACAATTGATTGCTAGAATGTCAAATTTTTTTGCAGCATTGCTCATCATGCTAGAGTTTTCTACATAATTATATTTTGATGATCCAACAAAATTATTTTCAGACCTGTATCTAATTAATCTATATAAATTTTTTAATACTTTAGCAAAATCATTTTTTCCGTGCGCGTCTCGACGCTATTTATCTTGCGAACGGTATGTATACATAAATTCACTAAGTGACGAATTTGAATTTTGAACTTACAGACTTCTCGCTGCGAAACAAATTTCGTAATCTGCTTTACTCTAAGTCGTTGGTCTACACGAAAAGAATGATGCTGAAATATCTTAAAATTTAGTTAGGTACAGATCTGAAAATAATTTTGTTGGATATCAAAATAATTATGTTACAGACATTCAATATTCATAATATACAATTGTACTGTAAGAAGTTTTAACATTCTGGTAATCAACATCCTAATACATAATTATTTTGATGATTCAGCTATATAATCCAACAAATTTATTTTCATTCACATCTGTGTGTATCCAGTTAAATTTTTTAATTATAGCACTTTAGCAAAATCGTTCTTTTTATATACGATATATTATTACATTACACTTCGTCAGTTGATCGCGTTTAATGTATGTGTATGTGTGATCCAGCTCTATAACAAATCTATAATAATAATCTCTATTAACTGATGCGAGAGAAGAAACGTTAATCTGTAGCAATAACAGCAATATGTGCTTTCTCATCCTGCTTTCGTTCTTCAATCTACATATACATTTTTGGTGTCCTTTTTACAATCCATTCGAGACTGTCTGACAAAAAAGTAAATAATTGACGAGGAACTGTTCTATACGTATACCTATGCGCGATTTCGAGATTTACATGCGAATAACATTCGCGCCACGCATCGACATAAAAATCGCGTCGTCCCGCCGTGCGTGCGTCATTAAGAGAACAGACATCCAGAAAAGGCCGGAATTTAACGAGCTCCTCGGAAGGATCTGCAGTCTAGATGCAATTCGCTCGCGTGTCCTCTCTCTCTCTCTCTCTCCTTCCCTCTCTCTCTCTCTCTCCCCTCTCCGTTTCTCACCCTTTCTCTTTCTCTCTTTCTCATCGCTCGTGCCGGACGTTCGTAACGAGGCTCATTTGGTGGCGCGCACGCGACCAATGGCGCGGCGGTATGGTGGCTGTGGCCATGCCCAGCGGCCAATAGCATCACGCGTCACACAGCTGTCATCTTGGCCACGCCCCTTACCAATCCGTACCGCGTCGCGCATGACGCACTCGGCTCGCCTCGCTAACACGCCGCGTCGCCAGTCCCTTCTGATGCGCGCGTGAGGAGTGTTTCTCTCTCGCGCGGCAGCGAGAGAGACAGAACGGCCTCATTGATCCGCTGCCTCGCGAGGTCTGCTTGTCCAGATGTGATTTAGATCAAGATCGCCGAATTGGAATCACAGTTGAGAGACGGATCCGGTGCGTGTGAAATCACAAGTGAAATTGGAAGTGAATTCGTGCGGACTCTTGCCGGAGAGCCGCGGTACTCCGGTTCTTCCTAGCGCAGTCGGTGTTGTTTCTTTGGTGATGAGTATCTCGCTGGAAACGACGACGGGGTTAACCGAGTGAATCGACTGAAGAAATTCCATCCGGGTGGAATTTTCCGGGCACACCCGTTTCTTCGCGAAGGCATGATGCTGAGAGACCACCGCAGTCGAAGATCAGATTCTTAGCTTGCACCAGAGGTCATTTAATACTCGAATCAGTGCCGATTCTTGTAAGCTCTTCGGACGCACGAATAGCTAACGATATAGCAAGAACGTGAAAATGCAATAGCCAAGGATTATCTCCAATACTTCGTTAAGAAGAGTGAAAAAAAGCATCACATTTATTCTATGTACAGAGAGGCGTCATTAAATTGTCAAGTGGTATTCGGTAAGAAAATTTGAAAGAGCAATTTGGTGACATTTTCATCGAGAGAGCGTCACGACGAGAGGCGTCGATAGGGTTTAAGGAGAGCGAGAGAGACGCTCTTTAAGGCGCCTCTAATAATAGCAGCACGCTCGCGAGTGTACCAAGCAGTCTATAAATACGATCGCTGGCCCCGTGGAAACACGAGCCCGTAGATTTCACGGTGCAACCTGTGTGTGGGCAGTAAAAGCGAGACAGGAAGAAAGAACAGCGAGTCGGAAGAAACGGTGAGATCCGCGGATGGAAAAAATCTCTATCGCGTATCAATTTGACGGAAGTGTTTCGATGGGAATGATATAATGACTGTGCGAGTTCCACGAGTATTTTCATGAATGGTTGTAAGCCGATCGTACCAAAACGACAGGTGAGAATCGTCGGAAACGAATTGAAGATCATCCAGAGAAGATCGTCCAGAATGATTTGATCTTTCGATTGGAATCTGCGATCTCATCCTCGGATTACTTCGCTCGCAAGAACAACATCCTAGCAAAAACCCGATTGAAATCTGAAGGAAGATATTCGAAGAGATTACAGCATTGTTGGAATAGCCATTTTTTTGCTTTTTGAAACATGATTAACGCTGGTTCAAAAACAAAAAACAAGAATCCGCGACTTCGATCTGTGAACTGACCGTCGGCTCGAAGCTGCGATCACAAGACTGAAAAGAATCTCGTTTCGTAGGATTCTTTTTCCGCTTCCGGCTGCGATGTTCGCCGATGTCGACTGGTGAGAGTTGAAAATATCGCGCGCTTCACGAGGATCTTCACGTGATCCTCGATCGAATGAGACCAATCAGATCAATCTGTCGAACGAACATTCAAGCGCAACATTGCTGATCGATGAGTAATGCCTTGGAAAGGCATACAATCATCACAGCACGATCATCGACAGTTTGTCAAACGGAATGTAAAAGAGCTTCACAGTGTTTTCTTGCTTCAAGCTTCACGTAACATAGTGCAACGAATTTACATACCCAATTGTTTAAATTAATTGAACATGGTTTAATCAATGACTATGAGAGATAACGTTACACGAACAGGCGTTGAGGAAGATCAAGTGTACGTAGGGAAGGGAAAGATACATTTCGCGATAATTAAAAGTCATCACTAGTTAAACTAGTGATCAATTTTGACGGGCAACGCAATAAGTGTGCCATCGAACTATTGTCAATACTTAAATTAGGCGACTTTATCATTGTCTTATGCGGACTTTTATCACTTGTCATCCTCTGATTCGTGCACAAGTCAGTTATAGGATTAACTTAAAGTGGTTTAATTTAAGTTGGCGACTCGCCGTGTCTTTTTAGACTATAATCATAGAACTTTTTTTAATTAAAAAAGAGAGCTTTTATATAATCAATCTAAACTTACGAGAATCCACATCGAATCAACGACGTTGCGCATCAAAGATCTCGGGTCGTCGTTGGGCGCGTCGCGCGATGCTCTCGGTAGGACGTTCCAAGGATCCGCAGTGATCCCCGCGAAGGGTTTACCCCGTGAAAAATGAGCGGCGAGTAAGGGGTAGCTTTCCTTTCGCGTAGCGTCGGATCGGAGAACCCGTGAGCGGCGACGCGGTTCGTCGCGGTCGCAAACGCGAAGCGGGTAGGACGATCGTGTCACAACGGTGGAGGGCGGCGGTACCGTGCGGGGGGTCGTCGTGGACCCCGGAGATGACGCAGCCATGATGGCCTACGGGGGCACCGCTGGTAACGGGGGCGCGATGGGCCCGACGTCCGGCGGCGGCGGCGGTGGTAGTGCGGACGTCCTGGGTACCGCTGCCGGCGACTACAGCCCTCAGAGCACCCCCACACCCTTGACCGGACACTCGACGACGGCCGGCACGGTGGAGAATGCTTACACCCCCGGCGCGACCGGGGCGGCCAGCTACAGCCCCCAGGATAGCCCGGCGAGCTCTGCCGGAGGCAGCGGTAACGGCCAGCTGCCGAGTTTCGGTTTCACGCAGGATCAAGTGGCGTGTGTCTGCGAGGTAAGTCGTGTGATCGCCTGTTTCATGGAGCTCCTCCGATAAGAGACACGAAAACATACTGAGTAACACGCAAGAAAGGTAATTAAGTAAATGAGTGTGACGGAGCGAAAGGTTTAAAGAGAAAGAAATGGAGAGAAGAGGGAGAGAATAAAAGGTTGATTTTTTTCAACACTGATACCTAAGCTTTTTAAGTTTTAAATCGTAAGAAATTGATCAATCATAGTTGGTTAGTCTTCTCACATGTTCGATTATGATTGGTCAATTTATTCCGGCTTAAGACTTAAAGCTCAAGTAGTGGATTATTACTGAATGCCTTTTATTTAGTAACATAAATTGATATGAGTATTATTATATCTTTGTTATTCATGGAATACAAAGAAAAATTGAACATTTGTGTCACTAAATGGAAAGTACTCATAGAAAGCCTATTAACTTTTGGAATTTGTGACTAGGCGCTTATCTTTCACATTTGTAATTGTGTTCAAGTACAAGTGATAGCTTCGATTCTCAAATTATTAGTAATGGGCGAGTTTAAGATGGCAAAGCGGCTAAGCTTGCCGAGCAATTAAACATGATTGGTTGGATCTACAAGGCTAAGAACCAATAAAAATTATAAAAGCTTCACTCGGCAAGCATGTCTAATCGCTTTGCCAGCTTGAACTCGCCCAATGTTTAGCCGTGAATATTCTATACACTGAAAAAGAAACAACAAAAGTTCAATATTTTGTGAGATTTCTTTTTTTGGCGTAGCAACGATCATAACTCGATTTATGCACTATTCTATGTATTGTTATACTGAAAAAAATGTTCTAATTAAACCAATAAAAGAGTCTAATAAGAATAGTATTTGATGAGACCAAACAGAATTTTTAGTCGTCATAATCAGAAATTTTGTTTAATCTCATCATTCTTGTTGAGCCTTTGTTGATCAGAATATTTTTTTCAGTATAATAATACGTAATTTTAGGATAACGCATAAGTCAAACTGTAGCTGTATCGAGAAATTTGCAGTTAAAAGTATTTTAATTGAATCTTAATTTAATTATTATTTTTATCTACTTGATAATTAGATTGTGATTCCAACTAATTTATATGACGAAAAAATTGATCTTCAAAAATATATCCAAAGAATGTCTGACAAATCAAGATGACTTTCTACGAGCATCACTGAAATGTTACTCGTTCAATATAGAAATTCAACGTTGTTTCGTGACTCTTATTAGATGATCTCTAGCTGCATAACACGCGCCTGCTGCATTCAGTTGTTTAATGCTATGCGTCGCGTTTATAGTAAACGTACAATCCATTCACATTTCAATTAAAATCTAGACGTAGATAAACATTTTTCGCAGTTACAAACGTTACATTCAATCGCGACAATTATATAGTATGATTGATCTTCATGCAACTCGATGATTCATTCAGTAGAGAAAATTAATCAGTTGGCGCTTAGTGATTCTTTAATATGATTGATTCTTGCCTTTAGTTCTTCGTTAAATCTAAGTATAGGAACCAATCGTATTAAAGAATCACTAAGTGCAAACTGATTAATCTTCTCTGCTGAACGCAGCCATTGTCGTTAATTGTTTTGTACTTTACTCGCGCTTCAAGAAATAGAAAACGGCATTGCTCTTAAAATTTTATCATGTATGACTTATGAACAAAAATATATGATTGTCAGAAATCTACGCGCAATATTTGCGACGCACAGCTTACAACAATGAGCCGCTGATGACTGGCTAGCAATCGCTGCACTTTCCTCGGCGAATAATATCTTTCCTCGGTCGATTTTTATCTCGAAATGTAACATCATTAGATTCTATCATTAATCTCGCGATAAACATCACGCGAGAATCTCATGTCGCGTGCAAGTTTATTTAAATGTCGCAAATTGGAATAAATTGCTTCTTTTCGATCTGCTACTGCATACACAAATCCAATCATCATCGTGTTGATTGTCGTTGTAAAGTGTGGAAATAGCGAGGATCTACGTGGATTCCCGATGATGAAATTGCTGCCGCGACGACGATCGTTACGTCGCCGACAATGTGCAGCGTTATGCGCCAAGATTCGCTTGCATGTCACACGCTTAATAGAATCTGCACGATTTTACTGTAACCGTAAATTGTTTTGCGTGCGACGTTTACGTCCCTCATATCGAACGTCCCACATGTTAACTCGTCCTGTTCGAAAGAAAGAGAGAGAAAATGAAAAATAGGCGATCCTTTCCGCGTTTGGCAAAATTTTCAATCATTCTTTACTGTACTCTCATCGAGTTGCACTCGCGGCATGCAAGTTGCTCTCGAATTTAATTGACAAACGATTCACGTATCATTTTTATCAATAAAACCGAAAATTAAAATAAGTAAACAATAGTAAAGTAAGTATTTGCTTAAACGAATCCAATAAATTAGCTCGTAAATATTTGGATTGTTTAAATCGAGAAATATAAAATATTGCAGGCGAGAAAATAGATACAAGATTATTAAAAATATAATGTATCGCAAAAAAGGTTAATTGCGAGATACTTTAGTCCAAGTGACGTAAATATCTGAATATATTTAAAATACCTATTTAAAATATCTATTAAATAAATCTCTAGTCTTTCGATTTTTTTTTTTTTTTTTTTTTTTTTTTTTTTTTTTTTTGGTCTTTCTCTTGGATGATGCCTTTTTTATATTGCTGCGTTATCTATTTAATTTTATTTATTTTTATCGCGTGGGTGTAATCGCCGCGTGAATATTAAGAGTTAATTTCTATACTTTACGCCGTAGATGATGAAAATATTTATGAACGATTGAATCGTATGGCGGTCGTAGCGCATATAAGGTAACGAGTATGCGAAAAGATGGGTTTGCCAAATGCGGAAGTGATCGACCGCAGATTGTATCTTGCACGTGCATACCCCTGTACCCAGCGCTATAATTATGCGGCTAGACTTTAACTCCTTGCCCACGTCACACAGACAATTATGGCGCTCAAATTCTGCGATTGGAACTTTCAAGAACGCTAAGGGCCCTACGGTTATGCATGAAATGATCCGCGACATTGGAGTCGCTATCGCGTATCGATTTGTTCAAAAACATTGTGATATATTGTTGCCATACGCTGTGACACGTGGGCGCTAGTTGTCTTGTATCATTCGAGGTGCCCATGATAGTTCCCTTTTCAAAGCATAAACGAAATCGACGTTTCACCGGGTGTCGGCCGATCTATTTCTTGTCGAATCGCAATGAAATCGATCTTGTACTCGAGAAAAGGAGAAATGATAGGACTGAATGATTTCTTCCTATTTGATTAAATTATTCTAGAACATCGACTTTCAATCCCAGTTTAAGTCAGTCCGAATTGAATTATATTATAATTTCAGATTCACTCATTTTTAATCTTAATTTTAACTATCTTTAATATCTACATCGATCATTGAATAAAATTATTAATTATGTTATATATGTATTTTTTAGATTATAATTGCATTGAAGATTTAAATATAATTATCGTCCGTGATGATAAGATTTAAATGTTACTATTATTAAACCTCAAATGGAGAAAGTGAAAAAATTTTCTTAAATTTCCTTTTTTATACATTCGATTTTTAAACGTACTAGTATATGAAAAATTGCTATCATTACGTATTGAATTTCTATGTTGTTCAATTCTAAAAGAGAAGAAGGATTAACTCATGTAATGGTGATCTTTCTAATCAGCATCTTCATCGTTGACAGTTAATCCGATCTTGAGATCTATGTCGTACATTTCTCTTCGTTTGGGTGACATGACATTCATTCCTCATTATGCCACGCGGCAAGATTAATCGACCATATTGCGGAAAATTCGGCGACATCCGGCGACGACAGCGAGCAGACAAAGATGACAGGTGTACAGAGCTCATATTGCTAATTAAGCGATCATCAGACACCCGTACGATCTCATACGATCAGCAACGTCTCAATTTCGTGCCGGTACTTTCGTAGCAATTAATTTTGTACGCTAAAGGGAAATTTCGAGAGATTCTCTCTCTGCGATATTAATTTTCTTCGAACATATAAGATTCATGAATTTAAATTAATATATATGAAATTGAATTTGAAACTACTATAATTATTGAAAAATATAGGAAAGAAGATATAAAAATGAATATAGTCCTAATATTCTTTGCATTTGTGCTTATATCAAGAAAGTGACAATTAGAGTCAAACGCCTATTTACAAGTACATAAATTTTGTATTGCAATAAAGTTTGCATGTATCGATTTTACAAATAGTACCGTGCCTTTAGCAAATCAGTTATGTGTAAATTAAATATACGTAATACGGTGATATTTAGACTGGCAATATATGGCGCGTGATATATCGAGTAAACGTCAGTGATGCAAAGCAGCAGACGTATGCGGATACCGGCAAATATTATAGATAGCTCATTTCTCAAACGGAATCCTCGGTGGTTAATTATATCAACGAGAGAAACACGCAAGGGATAACATGTTTCATACCGATAAAACGAACTGAAGTATATGACGAAATAAAATTGATGTATAGTTCCACTTAGGATCGTATTACGCGATCGTTTAAGTTCATTAACGGTCATTTCGAGAAATTACACGAATGTTAAACGTCACAGATATGTCGAGTGTAATTTTATATATTAGTAATTATCAGATTTTCTCTCTGTCTCAAATGATATTTTATTAAAACTATACTATTTATTAAAACTATGCTAAACAGTTTTATGAATTTTCATATCTTAATTTGATTATTTTATTATCAAAATTTTCGCGATTTCGCAGCTTCGCATTATTGCGTGATATGTTCATATTTCTAATAGAAATACACAAACTGAATAAATAGAATTTTCTCTTATGATTATAGATTTTAATATCTTGACATAAGGGATCATCGATTGTTGTAAAATATTTGAGATATTTCGAGAAATTCGCAAAATCGTGTATTAGACTATTTTAATCGTTCCAAGACACGAGACTCATTTCTGCTTGCTCGCAAAAATTTAATCAATTGAAATTCGTTAATATATCGATATAGAAGGTACGTCCTGAATCATTCCTCTTCAAATTTCTAAAACCTTATCCCCATGTAATATCTAATCTCATCCAGTTTTTTTACAAATTTTAATTAGATTTTATAATTCAAAATTTAACTTTTTTTTTTTAAGGAAGATTTAATAACTTTCCTAAGAAAATATTCACAAAGTCAAGACCAATTTTTCATCTTTATTGATACGATTCTAAATAGACATTGGTTTTATTGAGGAAAAAAGAGATAATCAGTCGTGTATAACAAATAATAGATCTTCATACTCATTTTTCGTCAAAAATGCTATATGAATACGCAGAGTTATCCAAGATTTAATTTAAATAGTTTTTATAATATATTTCTATTAAAGAAAAGAGAAAAAATTTCAAATACAAATCAATTTTATCTAAAGCTGCGTCAATTCGATTCAATTTTTCTTAAAGGAGTTCTGATAAAATAACAGTAACTGAGAGACTTTTGTATCCATTCAAATTAGTTTTTATAAAAGTTAACGTTTTTCCATTTAATCGTATCTAAGCGATTCAATCAATGATTAATTCGAATCTCTCTCACACACACACACACACACACACACACACATTGTTTAACTTTGTAAATACTTTTTAGCTCCTTCATTTAATTTTAGATTATTTGTTATAGAGAGCATTCTATTTTATGTCCTTTATAATTTTTTTTACTTGCACTTTGTGAATAATTAAATTAAATGTAACAATAACTTGTATATACTTTGTTAAAAACTGAAGGAAATTAAATTTAGATTAATTTTCTCGATTTGAAAATTGTAAATACAAGAGAATTGATCTAAATTAAATTTTTCCTTGTTAAGGTTAATTTTTCCCGGGTTCTTCATAAATACAGATTATTTACAATAGCTTTAATAGTCAATTTCTGTAATTTTCCAATCTCATCCCAATTCTCACAGTTCCCATTTACACGAAAATATCCCGACCAACCTGTTAGTCACTGGTAGTTGTCCAATTCGTCTTCCTTGAACGAAACGATCAGCTAAAAGAGGTGAATATGAGACATATACAAGATACACTAGAATAAGAGGAGACCCGGGATGAGTTTTGCCGACTAACAGTGTGCCCCCCCTGTCTATCGTCTTCAAGGCGATGGTGTCGAATGTCCAGGTTCTTCAGCAGGCAGGCTCCGTGGAGAGGCTCAGCCGATTTCTATGGTCTCTGCCGGCGTGCACCAGGTTGCACCGGCACGAGAGCGTGCTCAAGGCCAAGGCGATCGTCGCCTTCCATCGGGGCCAATTTAAGGAACTCTACAGGATCCTGGAGAGCCACACCTTCAACCCGAACAATCATCCGAAGTTGCAGGCTCTCTGGCTCAAGGCCCACTACATCGAAGCCGAGAGGCTGCGCGGGAGGCCCCTCGGCGCAGTTGGTTAGTAAAAATTTTTAACGGTTTTTTTTTTCTGTATTATACGTATATAAATAAAATGATAAATAGAGATTATTTTTCTGTGCAAATTCAACGATAATATTTTTCTTAATGGCGCGATTGTTAATTGCTACTTTGTATTGATTTCAATTGTTTTATTAAATAAGTATTTCTCTGTATCAATGATTATTAAGGCAAAATATCCTTGTAAGTTTTGAAAAAAAAATAACTTGAATGATTTCATCCTTACTTAAATACTAGTCGATATTGAGTGGTGAAAAGATAATTGAAGAACATAGAGAAAAATAGTATGTTTAATATATCTAGCACCGTAAATAACTGTTTTCTGAAAATAAATGAATTTAATTTATCATAGAACATTCGCATGGAGCAAAAAGCCGTTGAAAGTGGAGTAGTGCTTTGTCGACAATGATTAACTTTCTTCATTAAAAATCAGAAAATCCGAGTGGACACGAAACTATGTCGCACATCTCATTAAATTAATGATCCTTAATATATTGTTCTCAAGATGTGATCCTTATTATTATTCTCGAGATACATATATATGTTACTTTAAAATGAAGTATAAATATTGCAAAAACGTCATCGTCAGTATGTAACTTTTTTTTAAAGAAATTTCTAAAATTTATAATAACTCACTGCATATGATAATTTATGAATAATTTATTCAATTCAGATATAAGACACTTTGCGAATTAAACCTGAACAATGCTAGTGCAGCATTAAAATCTCGCGTTTTAATACGATACGATGTGCCGCGTGCGCGTCACATTTATTTTCGAGTTTAAGGCATCACGTACGGCAATTATAAATAAACAATGCGCGAAACGCACGCCGCACGGTTTCGGCATTAACGGTCAAAAGAACGGACAAAGTTATTATCGCACCCAGCTAATGAGCAGTATAGACTTGGCCCTATTTTACCCGCTCAATTCGCAGGCGGTGCGCGTCGCGCGTGAAACCGACGACGTCGCCGTCGTTGCACTCGGCCCAGAAACCAAATCCGTCTTCAAAAAAGAGAAGCTAGAAACAAAGCGTGCTTCTGTGCGCGCGTTGAGAGAATCGGAGTGCCGTAACACGCCGCTGCTTCCTCTTCCGTTTTTCACAGCGTCGCGTCGAATCCGCGTTCGCGGTGAAAATTTTCACTCGCCGTAGTACCGAAGTGTGTTTATCTTGGAGCCGTCAAAATGTGTATTTAAAGATACAGGTAGACTTTAACGACGGTGTTCTAACATTTCTGACGGTACTGTAATAGCGACGCTTTTAAAATTGCGTTCTTATTTTTATGTTTTCTTTGAAAAAAAAAAAAAAACAAAAAAATGTTAAATTAATATCCTCACTTATAGAGGTGACTTTGTCTTTTTTCTTTGCAGGAAAGTACCGGGTGCGTCGTAAGTTTCCGCTACCGCGCACAATCTGGGATGGCGAGGAGACGTCTTATTGCTTCAAAGAGAAGTCCAGGAGCGTCCTGAGGGATTGGTACGCCAACAATCCGTATCCGTCGCCGCGCGAAAAGCGGGAATTGGCGGAAAGCACCGGCCTTACCACCACGCAAGTCAGTAATTGGTTCAAAAACAGGAGACAAAGAGATCGTGCCGCCGAGCATAGGTGAGTCTTTGACAATGGAGACTCTTTCTGCTTAATTAATTACATGAATTGAATTCTCATTGGGTCTCATTGGCTAGAAAGGAATGTGCTTCATTCTGAAAAGTATTTCTAGAACAGACAGAAGTATACAACAATCTACATCAAAGTTTAACTATCCGAAAAAAAGTGAAGATTTAAAGGCGTTAAAAAATGAGCGACCCAACGCTGAAGAAATATTACGGGCGTCAAATTGGGTCAACGGAAATAGGATCGAGTTTTCTCTATTATACTTTTACATTTTCTTAATATTAAATTATATTAAATTATCTTCGTTGAAATATTTTATTAAGTAGATGAAATAAATCATACACATGTAATAGAAGACATTAATAGCTAACGGCTCAAGATATAACGATGCGAAACTAACGTAATTTCTAAAATTTAACAAATGACGAACGAGAGTTCATACAACGTAACCGTCTCATTAAATACTTTGTCAAATAAACAATATCCGACGATATTTCTACGTCCGACAGCACAGAGACATGTACAATTGGCCACGTTAGTGTGGAATTTTCGTCTCTCGCGGATAGAAGTGATCGGCTCGTAGGAGTCCCGTGTTGTTTGGAAGGTCGTTGCTCTACATCCGATTTTAGAAACGAGCGGAGGCCCCATAACTATGTCCGTAATGCGATGCCTTCCGCCGCGTAGCGAGAGCATCGTGTCGCATGCATTCATATTCGTACACGCGGCCGTCTTTTCCTTTGCCGAGTGAGCGAACGAGCGAATAATAAATAAATAAGTACCAGCTGGGCCATCTGGGCCACTGACAGAGCCAATCTCCCGCGAATTCTTCCGCGAAACTTAGCACGTCGCGTCGCGTTGCGACGAAACGATGACGAGTCATTATGAGATTAGTCGATGATCAAAAGTGTGCCACTCTTCTCTGTCTCAGTCGGCTGATTAATAAATTGAATATCGGATATAAATTTATTGCAAGAGAATCTGATCGTTATATATCGCAAACTACATTCTTGTCTCTCATTAATAAAATTTATTATTTGTTTTCAATAATATCAGCGTTTGTGTGTGTTTCTCTTTCTAAAAGCATTAATTTGTAAAGTAAATTATGGCCGGTATTCGTAATCTGTTCTTATTTCAAGATCGTCTTAAGTAATGTTTTAAGATGCTAAAATGGTCTCTGATTAGTTCGTGAAATCTTAAGACCTAAAACGGTCTTAAATATAAAAATCGATTATAAATACCAGCTTATAATTATTGTAATGAATTAAAGTATAGTATTGATAAGACAATCGTAGCTTAACATTCCATTGAGAACAATTTTTCATTTTGAATCAGAATTCCAATTAATGCTCCAACTAAATCTCTTTTTCCAGCGTATAATTGCTAAAAATTTTGAGCTATAAGGATTGATTTAAAGTAATTCATTATAATAATTTGAAGGTTAATGACGAAATCATACGCGAATGCAATGGAGTAGGTGGAACAGGTATTTCTGTGATATTGGAGAGATTCGAAAGCAGAAATTCTTTGCGGGATTTCCTAATTAATATGCGACGAATGATGCCATATACACGTATTCGCAAAGTCTGTAAGATCCATCGTCATGAGTGATGCTTATAGGGTGACCATAAATTCTTTGATAATTTCGAATTTTTACTTTGGATATATTTTTTAATAATTCTCGTATCAATCTCAGGATGATCTCCCAGCAAACGAGAATGGATTAAAATGGATTGAAATGGATTTTTTTCTATCCGAATGCGAATTTTAAATAGCGAATACTTTTTTTCGATTTAATTGGATTCAATTGTATTCAATTAGATTCAATTGGATGCAATTGGATTGAAAAACTGCATTTCCTATTCAAAATTTTGAATTGAACAGTATTCACAATGCACAGAAAAAGCTAATATTATTTTTAGATTGAAAGGCATAGATATATGTTCCATGCAATTCCTATAAATAAATAAAAATGCATTCAGGATTGAAAAGCATTCATTTTAACATTCGTGAATCAATATTTCTAAAAATCTGAATCCATTTCAATTCATTTCAATCCACTCTCGTTTGCTGGGCTATTCAATTTACGCAAACTTTTTGCGAATTATAAACATACACTTGTTTCCTTTACAGATCTATTATATTTCCGCGAAGCATTTGATTTTAATGAAAATGATTTAATAAAGTACGCTTCTTATTATAGAATTGAACTTTATTCAATTAAATTCAAATTTTGTTGATGTATAGATACGCGAAAATGGATTTTATATTTTCGAAAATTGAAGTTAAACTCGACGATTATATTAGATGATATTAGATACCGACATAAATCATCATTCTTGATCCTCGAAACTGCTTTGGGACGAGCGTTAATTCGCGAACACCTCGTAGACATGCATCTCTGACCTCCTGCCATGGGAATATACAGAAGCCATAAGAAATTCGATACGTTCCCCGTGACATGATGTGTGTACTGGTCCTGCCATAATAGTGCTTCCCACTTCCTTCCCTCACGAGAAAATGCGTCCACGATTCACATGGATCGATCGGATCCATGCATCCTTCGATAGAAGATATCGCTGACGCTTCTATTAATATAGGTATATTATAGAAGCGCTAATGTTAGTAGAAAACATATTTTGTTTAATAGATGACGATGGATTTTATGTCCATATTAGCTGAGGATGATAACAATGATAAATTTTAAAACATTGAGAAGACAAAATCTTTGAACGTATAAAAATATGTATAAATGCAGGAAATCACTTGCAAATTATGATAACGAATATGAACGATTATTTAATAAAAAATAACAGATCAGTACTTAAAGAAAAATCTTTTTTCTTTTACTGCGATTTAATAGTACAAACAACAAATTTTTATAACAAATCGAATTTTTAAAAAATAAAATCTTTATCGATTCAATCTATAAAATTGAAAAAAATATTGACAAAATAGCAACACAAAATACTTTTACAAAAATGATCTTTTTTTACAGAGATCTTTTTTATGAGAATAAATAATTTTTCTAGTAGTATTTAAGCTTAATTTATAAAAAGTTTAATCGTAAATAGTTAAAAAGGCAATTCTGATATTGTAGTTGATAAATCATAATGATACTATAGAAAAATATTATTTCAAGAAAAAAGTATTTACAGTTTCATAACACAATAGATTTTTTACAACAAAGTAAAATATGTTTACTCAGCTCAAAACTATTTTGATTTATCGAATGTAGGATCGAGAAATTCTTTAATAGTAGACAGATTTTATCTAATAAAGACATAAAAGAGATTTGTCGAATAAACTCTCATATTTTTCGAACAACATATCTCGTTTAATGTCTCATACATATGTATATATAACTTTTTGCCGATGGTTCATTTGCTAGAATCGATATTTAGATTGAATTGATATTTTAATATTCAAGTAGCAGTGATATTTAATAATTAAAGATGTAGTTAAAATTTTTAATTGAGCAGAAAACAGATTTTGGCAACCAGTCTATTTTTTTTAATTAACGTAATTAGGCACTCTGAAATAAGGTCACTAAAAAATAAAAAGTCAATACTTCGAATTATTGCCATTTCAAATCTTTATACTGTAATCCTAAAACGGAATGTAACAAATCTCAGATATTATAAATATAATAGTTAGTTTCATAATTGTTGTATCATAATAATTTTTTAGTGATTTTAAATTATACCAATCTATATAATTTCATTTCAATAATCAAATTTAATTTAAAATATTCTAAAATTTGTATGTATTTATACGATTTAAATTCTTAAATTATCTGAGAAGACAAAGAAACTTAATAAACTTAATAATTGTGCTTATACATATTTTCTAATATTGTATCGAGTTAAAATACATGAATTCTTTTGATTCCCGTAATGAATTGACAATAAAAAAAAATTTTCTATTCTTATTTCTAGTAATGTTTGTAATAACGAAACAAATAATACGTGTTCGAGAATTACGGCCGAGAATTACAATTATGTAATTGTTTAATGAGAACACAGTCAAAAATTAAGTGAATAATCTTTCGCGTATGCAGGGGCGGCGTCCCGACGATCCTCTCGGGACAGGGGCGTCTCATGGGCGTCTGCAACCGACAAAAAAACGTCAAATACAGGGTACTATAGTCCTCCCCCGGGAGTTGTTATCGAACGATTTAACTATCTCGTTTCGATAAGATATAATGCGCACGCTCAATAAAATACAGACCGTTCAAAAAAGGGTTGCAAAATGAATGTCGATAATGAATTATTTACACACAGTGTTTAACGCATTTACTATCAAGCGTTAATTGATAGAGAATAATTAACGTTAGATATGAAATGTATCATGTAATGAAAATTAAAAACATGAAATATAATATATTCGACTATATAATGACGATATACAATAATTATAATAATAATAGTGTAGCAATATTACCAACATTAATTCGTAATTCAATTTTTATTTATCGCTCTTTTTACATCTACGTAGCAATTTATGTAGAAAGATAACGATTATGCGCTCTCGAGTCGTAAACGGCCGAATTAATTGATATCGGTTGGCCATAATTATCGGCACAGAGCGTAACCGAGCGGAAGTATATAAGCTTCAAATCGCGCGGAAGATAAGGTCGATCTAAACACAGTGGATTCTCGAAACGCCCATAATACTCGTATAAGCTTAGTCCTCATGGGCCGCTCTCTTTCTCTCCTCTCTCTCTCTCTCTCTCTCTCTCTCTCTCCCTCCCCCTCGCTCTTCTCTCTCCTCGATCGAGATAAAAAGTCGTGCAGTATGCCACGACTGTTTTGCATACCGAAAAATCAGGACTGGCTCCGATAAGAGAGAGGGAGAGGACTTCTTCGACCGTAATCAGCGGTTAGATTATTTGCGCTGGTCGATTCACGGCGAGCATGTATTAGAGATACAAAGTCTCGTCAGCATCCAATCCAACTGTGCCAAAGTGCATCCGCTGCACTTTGAGAAACGCACAA